GGTGCCTGCAGTGTGCGCAGTGGGTGCAATGGGTGCAGTGGGCGCAGTGCCTGCGGTGTGCGCAGTGAGTGCAGTGGGTGCAGTGGGCGCAGTGCCTGCAGTGGGTGCAGTGCCTGCAGTGGGCACAGTGCGTGCAGTGGGTGCAGTGGGTGCAGTGTGCAGTGAGTGCAGTGGGTGCAGTGTGCACAGTGCCTGCAGTGGGTGCAGTGCCTGCAGTGGGCACAGTGCGTGCAGTGGGTGCAGTGGGTGCAGTGTGCAGTGAGTGCAGTGGGTGCAGTGTGCACAGTGCCTGCAGTGGGTGCAGTGCCTGCAGTGGGTACAGTGTGCAGTGGGTGCAGTGTGCAGTGGGTGCAGTGCCTGCAGTGCGCACAGTGCCTGCAGTGGGCGCAGTGGGTGCAGTGTGCACAGTGCCTGCAGCATCTGCAGTCTGTGCAGTGGGTGCAGTGGGTGCAGTGTGCGCAGTGCCTGCAGCGTCTGCAGTGGGTGCAGTGTGCAGTGTGTGTAGTGCCTGCAGTGCCTGCAGTGCGTGCAGTGTTTGCAGTGGGTGCAGGGCCTGCAGTCTCTGCAGCGTGCAGCGTGGGCGGTATTTGCAGTGTGCACAGTGTTTGCAGCGTCTGCAGTGTCTGCAGCGTGCACAGGGTTTGCAGTGTTTGCAGCGTGGGCGGTATTTGCAGTGTTTGCAGGGCATGCAGTGGGTGCAGTGGGTGCAGCACGTGCCGTGTTTGCAGCATGCAGTGGGTGCAGCATTTGCAGCATGCACAGGACGCCCAGTGTCTGCAGCGGGCCCAGTGTTTGCAGTGCTTGCAATGTCTGCAGCGCTCACGGCGCGCGCCGTGTTTGCAGTTTGCAGTGTTTGCAGCGTGCGTGGCGCCTGCAGCGCGAGCAGTGTTTGCAGCGCGCGCAGTATGTGCAGCCTGCACGGTGTTTGCAATGTTCGCAGGGCGTGCAGTGGGCATGCAGGGTGTGCACTGCGTCTGCTGCGTGTGTGCAGCGCGCGTGCAGCGCACCGGCTGCGGTTCCTGTGCTGCATGTGTGCAACGTGCGCCGTGTTTCACGTGGGCTGCGTGTGCAGTGGGCGCGCAAGGGCGTGCGCCGCGTGTCTGCTGCGTGTGCGGTGCGTGTGGGTAGCGTGGGCGGCGCGCAGGCAGCTCGCGCACAGGGCGCGCAGCGTGGGCGTGCTGCACGTGCATGCGCATGGCGTGCACAGCAGGTGAGCGTGCAGCGGCTGTAGCACGTGCACGTGTGCAGCGTCTGCGTGCAGCACGTCCGGTGTGGGCAGCACGTGCACGTGTGCAGGGTGCGTGCAATCGGCTCAGCGCATCCGTGCGCAGCGTCCGCAGCGTTCGGTGTGCGCAGGGCGTGCAGTGTCTGCAGCGTGTTTGGTGTGTGCAGTGCGTGTGTGTGCAGCGCCTGCAGTGTCTGCAGCACGTGCAACATGTTCAGTGCCTGCAGCGTGTGCAGCGTGCGTGTGCGTGCACCGCGTTCAGTGTGTGCAACATGTGCGGTGCGCTCAGCGTGTCTGTCTGCAGTGTGTGCAACGTGGCCGCTGTGTGCAGTGCATGCAGTGCGTGCCGTGTCTGCAGGGTGTGCAGTGCCTTGCAGGACATGCAACACGTGCAGTGCCTGCAGTGTCTGCAGTGCATGCAGTGTCTGCAGCGCATGCAGTGTCTGCAGCGTGTGCAGGACGTGCAGCATGTTCACTGTGTGCAGTGTGCGCAGCGTCTGCAGTGTCTGCAGCATGTTCAGTGTGTGCAGTGCGTGCAGTGTCTGCAGTGTGTGCAGCATCCGCAGCGCCTGCAGGACATGCAACATGTTTAGTGTGTCCAGTGCGCGCAGTGTCTCCAGGACATGCAACGCGTTGGGGGTGCGTGGTGTGTGCAGTGCATGCAGTGTGTGCAGTGTCTGCAGTGAGTGCAGTGTCTGCAGGATGTGCAACGTGTTCAGTGTGTGCAGCGTGCGCAGTGTCTGCAGTGTCAGCAGGACGTGCAACGTGATCAGAGTGTGCAGTGCATGCAGTGCGTGCAGCGTCTGCAGGACGCTGGGAGTGTGGAGTGCATGCAGTGAGCGCCGTGTCTGCAGTGTTGAGTGCAGTGTCTGCAGCGTGTGCAGTGTCTGCAGGATGTGCAGCATCTTCAGTGTGTGCAGTGCGTGCAGCGTGCGCAGTGTCAGCAGGATGTGCAACGTGTTCAGTGTCTGGTGCCTGCAGCGTCTGCGGCACCTTGGGTGCGCGCAGCGTGCGCTGTGTCTGCAGTGTCTGCAGGATGTGCAACGCGTTGGGTGTCTGCAGCGCCCGCAGCACGTTGGGTGCGCGCAGTGCGTGCAGTGCGTGCAGCGTGTGCAGTGTCTGCAGCGTCCGCAGCACGTTAGGTGTGCGCAATGCATGCAGTGTTTGCAGCGTCTGCAGCGTGTGCAGTGTGTGCAGTGTCTGCAGCGTCCGCAGCACGTTAGGTGTGCGCAATGCATGCAGTGTTTGCAGCGTCTGCAGCGTGTGCAGTGTGTGCAGTGCCTGCAGCGTCAGCAGGACATGCAGCATGTTCAGAGTGTGCAGTGTCTGCAGGATGTGCGCCGTGTTGGAGGTCTGTGGTGTCTGCAGCGTCCGCAGCACGCTGGGTGTGCACAGCGCGTGCAGTGTCTGCAGCGTGTGCAGCGTCTGCAGTGTCTGCAGCGTGTTGGGTGTGTGCAGTGCGTGCAACATGTTCAGTGTGTGCAGTGTCTGCAGCCTCCACAGCACAGTGGGTGCGCGCAGTGCATGCAGCGTGTGCAGCGTCTGCAGCGTGGTCAGTGTGTGCAGTGTCCACAGCGCCCGCAGCACGGTGGGTGCGTGCAGTGTGTGCAGTGTGTGCAGTGTCTGCAGCGCCTGCAGCGCCCGCAGCACGTTGGGTGCGTGCAGTGCACGCAGCGTCTGCAGCGTGTGCAGTGTGTGCAGTGTCCACAGCGTCCGCAGCACGGTGGGTGTGTGCAGTGCGTGCAGTGTGTGCAGTGTCAGCAGGACATGCAGCACGTTCAGTGCGCGCAGTGTCTGCAGCGTCTGCAGTGTGTGCAGTGCGTGCAACGTGTTCAGTGTCCGCAGCATCCGCAGCACGTTGGGTGTGTGCAGTGTCTGCAGTGCGTGCAGTGTCTGCAGCGTGTGCAGTGCGCGCAGTGTCTGCAGCGTCTGCAGCACGTTGGGTGTGCGCAGCGCGTGCAGCGCGTGCAGTGTCTGCAGCGTGTGCAGTGCGCGCAGTGTCTGCAGCACGCCGGGTGTGTGCAGTGCGTGCAGTGCGTGCAGTGTCTGCAGTGTGTTCAGCGTGCGCAGTGTCTGCAGCGTCTGCGGCACGCTGGGTGTGTGCAGCGCGTGCAGTGTGCGCAGTGTCTGCAGCGTGCGCAGTGTCCGCAGCGCCCGCGGCACGCTGGGTGCGCGCAGCGCGTGCGGTGCCTGCAGCGTGTGCAGTGTGTGCAGCGCGTGCAGTGTGCGCAGTGTCTGCAGCGTGCGCAGTGTCCGCAGCGCCCGCGGCACGCTGGGTGCGCGCAGCGCGTGCGGT